AAAAAGCAGTACGGGGAGCTGGGGGTGCATGGGGAAGGGAGAAGACAGGGTGCACAGAGCAGCATGTGGTGCTGGGGCTGCACGGGGGAGTCGAGGGGTGCACAGGGAAAGGGACGGAGTGCAGCAGAGTGCACAGAGCGGCACATGGTGCTGAGGGTGCCCAGGGGCCTTGGATGCACAGGGCAGGGGGGTCGGGGCTGCAGCTGGGTGCAGGCAGCTGCGCAGAGGGTTGGGTCAGGTTTGCAGGGGTGCTAGGCACCCACAGGGGCAGGGGACCTAGCAGCCGGCTCTCCATGTGGCTCTGTCCCTCCGCAGGCCTCCTGTCCGCTGCCACCCTGGCGCTGCGCTGCATGGACGGTGTTTTCCTCTCGCCCAACGAGGATGAGTTCGTGGGCAGGATCGCGGAGGAGCTGGAGCACTTCATGCTGCAGGGGCAGCACCACAGGTAGGTGCCCTGCCGCGGGCAGCGAGCAGCCCCCGCTGGCGTACGCAGTCCCTGGGTGATGGCACGTGCCACTCCAGGAGCAATGGCACGTTGTGACTCTCGCCTCCGTTTTGCATCGGTTCTCTGGGGTGAAAATGCCGTCTGGGTTTTGAGCGGCAGCGTTTGGAGCCTGGCTGCGAGGTCTGGCTGGCTGCAGAGCTCCGGCCTGGCCTGGAGCGTCCCTGCGGGCCAAGGATTGGCGTGGGGTTTCTGCCACGCGCGCTTCTCCAGTCGCACACCTTCAGGCAGAGTTGTTTTGGACGCTGGTGGCTTTTGCACCAGCCCCAGCCTAGCCTAGCTCCCTAGTCAGCCTGACGAGTTATAATGAATGGTTTCATAATCAAACTCTTTCATTTCCCCTCTCTGCTGAGGGCTTCCTGCGCGCCGGATCCTCCTCCACGGCAGCGAACTCCGTCGCCTTGGATTGCTGCATTGTTTTTCTTCGGCCAGGCTGGGTTTAACTGGACCTAGTCCCCGATCCAGTGACCTTTGAAGCCCTTGAGATGGCCAAAAGGAGGGTGTCAGACAGGAGCAGGGGTGTGATTCCTTAGTTCAGCTTCCTGCCAGCTTGTAATGACTGTAAATATTTGTTTCATTGGCTTTTGGTTTTTTTTTTAAACGTTTGGCAGAGAAAATACCTGTGCAATTGTAAAATGCTCAGGAATGAAACTGAAATTGTAGAAACGTGTCTAAATGCAAGGAAATCGAATGTGGCGTTTATTCATCCATTCATAATCTTTTAGTTGCTGGTTTCTGGAGCGCACTCAGACTGGGAGGAAGGGGACCGGTAGCAGCCTTCTGCTGGTGCTTTCCAGCCGTTCCCAGAGCGGATCCAGGCAGGAATGAGAGTGCCAGCCAAAGGCCCCGGGAGCGGGCAGTCCCAGCCGCCCCACGCTCCAGGTGCTACGTGCAAAGCGAGCGCGTCGTGTCTCGACGTCTAGGCTGGAGAAGGGATTTTGGTTCTTTAATACCAGAAAGTCCTGCCTGGCTTTTGGGCTTGGATTTAAACCCTGCACTGGGAATGACCTGGGGAAGAGAGGTTCATAAATTCTTGCTACGTTCCTGTCCTTTTCCTTCCTGCAAGTTGCTGATGCCGCCGACCCCTCTCTCTTTTCAGAGTGCTCCTGTTCCCCCCTCTGTCCAGTCGCCTCAGGTACCTGATCCATCGGACCGTGGACAACGTGGATTTGTTGAGCAGCTTTTCTGTGGGAGAAGGATGGAGGAGGAGGACGGTCATCTGTCACTCGGCCGTCAGGTACGGTGCAGTAGATGTAACGGTGCTTCTCTTTCTATGGCCGTGGGGTTTTTGTTCAAGGTTACGAGCATGAAGTTTGCGTGGTGCTCCTCTGCAGAGAGGAGGGTGTCGTATCCCAGTCATTAAGGAAGCAGAGGCTCTTCTTTTTTTTTTTCCCTACCTGCTGACTTCTGTGCAGGTCCGATGCCTTCCCTCCTCTCTTTCTTTTGCAAATGTCACGTTACTGGGGTTCCTCTGCTCCCCGCTCATGTCCTGCCCTTCTCTTGGTCCCAGGCTGCCCAGTGAGACTGGCGACCAGAAACCCAGCAGCAACCCGCCGAGACCGCAGCGACCTCCGCAGCCGTGGGGCCGTGGGGCCCGAGGCGGCAGGCTGCGGCACGG